GGCTTAAGACTGTCCCCGACGATAAATCGAGTCGGGCTGCGTCGGCCGACGCTGTCTGAGTTGGCCTTAAAATTGCAGGGGTTCTACAATTCCATGAAGCTTGCCTTTTTTTTTAAACATCAGATTAAGATGTATACTATATATTGGACAACATCATAAGTTAGCATTTTCTTCTCCAACGTAGACTGATTGTTTTGCCTGTATCTATTCCATCAACATTTGGCATAATCAATTAGCACTTCTCACCAACCTCCGGTATAATTTGATTCAAATTGCTGGTCACACTTGAAAAAAATCACTGGCTGGACCACTTAGCCAAGCTATTTGACTTCATAAACAAAATGTACAGTATTGGTAAACTGAAAATTGGATTGTATAGTTAGGTACTGGGATATATGACCAACAACCTCTTGAAAGCAGAATAATCTTGCACTATGCATTTTAGTATTGTCAACACACCACAGGGTTATACACATCTAGATGTGTATAAGAGACAGTCGGCACACACACTAGTAAGATGGGTGGGAATATGAATGGTTTCAAATTTATGGGGTGAGGCAAACATTTTTCCTAAGAACCCCAAAAAGTAAGGGGGTCCTCCCGAGAAAATGTTGATTCATAGAATGGCAGGAAATGAGCTTTCCCGACTTCTAATTTTTTATTCAAGGTCTTTATTCTTTATTTAGATAAGAATATAAATTAACAATTACAAACAGACAGCCAAAAACTGTATATATGAGTGTATTACAATAATTACTTAAAAATCTAAAAACAGAACACCAAAATTCAAGAAATTCACAACACAAACATAAAAAAAAAGCAATGGATAAAAAGCACAGCACCAGACATAAATCCAAATTAAAATGATAAAAATTGAAGAAATAAAAAAGACATATAAAAAACACATTAATTAAAAATTGAATTGAATTTTCTTTGTAACAACGGTCAGGACCCCCGATTAGGTGAACCTGGGTGAACTGATGCATGAATATGCATGCATGCCGACTTCCACTCGCAAGTCTTGAAAGCAGTGTTCGCTGCTTGTGGAATATGAAATTGCCTGTGATGTGAAAGCTACGGTGTTGGTATTAAACATAGAGATTGAGGCTGAAATTGCTTAAATATTAAAGCCCCATTCCCGGCAAAATTTCACTAAAAACTGATTTTTTTTTTATATAGAAAATATGCATTTGCATTACTCCAATTATTATAAATCATGGAAAAATGTTGGCATGAATTTTAGGCTTACGCAAAAGAATAAAAAAAAAGAGAAATACAGACTATTTCTCATAAAATATTACCATTTTCTCGACGAATTCATCGTTACTAGGCAAATTCAGAGGTTGTAGATCGCATCCACTGGAATACTCTCGCTTTTATGTATACAGTACTTTATACAGTCAATAATGTGCGCCCTCTCTAATGAGATTAGTTTTTGTACTTCGCATCTCGCACAATGCGGTCGTTCGATTAAGGCTGAGATGTGTTTATTTAAGTGTCAAAATCTCAGTCAGAATCAGTTTTTTAACAAATTTGAAATAATTCCTATGAAATATTATAATTCACAAGTATCATTACTAGCAACGGAAATATCATGTCGGCCGTTTTATGTGTGATAACAGAACCTAAATCGAGGTAAGGCTAGGCCGAGCCTAGCAAGCGTTGGGTAGGCTAACGTTTTCGGCGCCTACGATATTTCTTCTTACGACCTACCGCAAAATCTACCATGAAAATTCATCCGCATTTATTTTTTGTGTGGAACACCAAAAAAAAAAAAAAAAATCAAATTTCAGTCTTATTTCATATTTTTTTCATTCTTAGAAATGTCTAAATTCCGTTAAAAACTAGAAATTCCGTATTATATTTATAAATCTTTATAACATTATACAAAAATTAGATTTTTCTTAACAACTGAAATTTTGCCGGGAATGGGGCTTTAAGAACAAAATAAGAAGAAATTGAGGCTGAGGTAGAATGTCAAACTACAAAAACCAAAAAATTATATCTGTACCTTATGTGCAATAGGTGTGACTATGTAATACCTTCTATAATACAGTAAAGTAGATGTACCTATTTCCCATTTGGGGCCATTTTTTAACCAGGGCCTTTCTTTGCTGGGCCTTTCTTTCAGGGGCCATTTTTTGCAGGGCCGCTTTAATTCACCTCCCAGTACAGTTATTATACTTCTGTACAATAATAATTTTCTATGTTTGAAAAGTGTGTAAAATAAAAACAAAATAAGAACATTTTGAGCCTGAAATTGGCCAAAAAATGAACACACTACGCCTGGGCAAAATTTTACTGGTTCTTATTTTAAAAAAATAATTTTACCAAATCAAATATATGCTATTATATATGTCCTACTTTTTATATTAAAGGCTGTCTATCAAAATAAAAAAAAATTAATAAAACTTATTTAAAACGACCGAAATAAGACGGAAGTAAAAAAAAAAGAAACTTCCACTTAATAGCAGGAAAAATCTTAACAATGAATCATGTAAAACTGTACAGCAAATACGTTCACTCTCTAATTGACAGGGATTTTTTCTCATCAAAATGTTTAATTGTAAAATTGCAACTGTGTCCGAAATACTCGTAAATTGTAAGTTACACCCTCCATCTGTGAAAGTCCCTCTCCGGCCCCTCTATTTCAAATTCCTAGAGAGAAGTAATTTTCATTATAAATCTGAACGGGTGCAGGTCAACTCGGCCACAAGTCAACTCGGCCACAGCCAACTCGGCCACAAGTCAACTCGGCCACAAGTCAACTCGGCCACAAATCAACTCGGCCACAAGTCAACTCGGCCACAAGTTATTTAATGTAAATACTAATAATACTAGTATGGTAATAATAACGATTTAAATATCAATTTTAATAACTAATTAGTGATAATAACGATATTGAAGGTGATAATAGCAATAATACAACAATAATAAATTAAAGATAATGTTAATTATTTATTTGTTTAACAATATATAATGTTAATGCTAAGACTAATAATTAATATTAAAACTAACGGTAATAATAACAACAATGACAACAATAATAACAGAAATAATAATAACAATTATTACAATGTAGTACCAGTAAATGACTTGTGGCCGAGTTGACTTGTGGCCGAGTTGATTTGTGGCCGAGATGACTTGTGGCCGAGTTGAACCTGGTTGTGAACCCGATCTCACTCAGAAGTCCGACGCCTTACACGCTGCGCCACATGTTCCCCCACCCCCCACCCAACACGCCACATGCTTATGTAAACGTCCAGGTATGATACAAACTATAAAATTATAGAAATAGCCTACTATAATTCAGAGAGAAATTGTACCAAATGAAAATTATAATGGTTACAGAAATTAAAATGTTGAGTGCAAAATTGTAATATTTTTACACCAGCCCATTCCCGCCTCGTTTCCCACTCCAAATCAGTTTTTTGACAGCATCATCAATTTTGGCAGATTTTGACAAAATCCTTTAAAAATGCTTAGGATTGCTTATGAATACAGACCTTACCCTTTTTGACCCCGTATATCTCACCTCTACTATCATTACTTTTTCAATTGCCTTAACTAAAATTGACAGGAAAAACGCACTTTCAATTAAAACAGGGTAATGTAAATGTACGAAAATCGACGACATAACTTACCTTTTGATGAGAAACCAGCCAATAAAAGTAATATGAGAAGAGAATGTGACATTTTACTGTACATATTTGTCTTCAGGTTGTTCAAAATGAGGAAATGAGCTACACCTTCTATCTATTACAAGTATTCTATTTATTAAAATATGCCACATTTGGATAAAAAGGAAGTTTGCATTCCAAACGCAGTGTTGCGTAATGAACTCAACAATTGAATAATCAGTCTCGATATATAATGATCAACAATGACAAAGTAGGCTTTGTGTGAATGTCATTGTTTACGATCACAGTACTGTACCACTGTGGGTCGAAACTGTAGCCAAAAATGAGAATTTATCTTAAACGTTGGACATAATTGTCAGGGGTGTATCCAGAATTTTTTTAGGGGAAGGGGGTCGTGATCATAATTTTTGGACCTTTCAGAGGGAGACAGGAAAATCGATTACAGCGCCACCAGCGAATGGGAGGCTCAATTTCAGAATTGCTGGAATTGAGACAGATTTATGTCACGGAATTGGCAAGGTCTTTGGACTCATTACTGGTACCTCATCAATGCTTTTTCATTTATGTCATTGTGAAAAGGCCTTAGAAAAAAATGTCTTTGGGAAAAAGGTGGACCTTTGAAATTTTTTTTGAGGGGGGGGGGTCGTACGACCCTCCCGACCCCACTTTGCATACACCCATGATTGCTACATTACTATAGCCAACCAGAAGACGACTAACAATGAAGTTTGGCTTAGCTGCAAGGCCTTCAATCAGACACAATCCTCCTTCTATGCCATTTGTTCAACCTGGCCTATGTTTAAATGCAAATAGTAAACAAACACACGTTCACTTGCAAGTATGATGGCGTTGCAGTGTGGTGATTCAAGGGGGCCCATCCGACCTATTCCCCTAAATTAAAAAAAATGTAAAAATAAATTGAGAAAAAAAAATTCTACTCAAATTTTGAGTCTGTAGTGCAATTTCCAGCAATCTAGAGGTGCCACAATCATAAATTTTCATACCCTCTCAGGCATAGGCGTAGATCCCGGGGGGGGGGGAGATGGGGATATATCCCCTCAATATTTGACAAGGGGGGGGGGGCATTGTATCATCCCCCCCCCCAATATTTTGGCTATGTATGGGATAAAATGGAGCTTTACACACTTCAAAAGACTGTCACAGATTATTATATCTGGTACCAATCTAAGCTCTTCTTTCCTTAATGTTAGATGTGCTTGCAAAGAGAGCCACATTTCACATTGAAGAGTGTACGACATCGGTTGATAAGAAATGTATTGCTTAGGCCTATAATAGTAAATTGCATTAATTTATTTTGCAAAAACAAGGTTTCCAGCTTTAGAGGGGGGTCACATCCCATGTCCGCACAAGGGCACACACTGGCGCTAACACCAGGCGCGTAACAGGAGTCTTGGGTCAGAGTGGGTATTTATTTATTTAATTTTTTATTTCAACCATCTTTAAAGAGGGTAACCCTTCTAGTTTAGCCCAGTAGGTTAACTGATATTCAGGAGCCCTCTTTAATAAAATTAAAGAACAGTACAAACAACATCATTACAACATAATAATAAATATAAGCATTTTTATCATGGTTTTATTTATTACAAACATATTCTTTTACCATCTATACACATTGAAGCCCTTCTTTTAGGTGAAAATGATCTATCTTAAATTTGTCTTTCTTAAGATTGGGACTATTATGTGTTTAAATAACTTAAAAGGATAAAACTAAAAAAGCCTTAAAAAATGCGCGCCAAGTGCGCAAAATATTTTTGTGTTTTTAATTCTAATTTCGTCGGAATTAATGAAAACTCCCTAAAATGTGCAATTTATAGACGAAATTGGCCTACCGTAACAAGAAATGCGCCCAAAGAATTTGAGAATTTTAGGCACTTTCAGAGGATGCATTTGTCTTATCTTATTTATAATATAGGCCACACACGTGTGTTTGAAACTAAATATAAGCATTTTCATCATGGTTTTATTTATTACAAACATATTCTTTCACCATCTATACACATTGAGGCCCTTCTTTTAGGTTAAAATGATCTATCTTAAATTTGTCTTTGAGTTTGGGACTATTATGTGTTTAAATAACTTAAAAAGGAAAAAACTAAAAAAAGCCCTAAAAAATCGGAAATAAAACACAAAATATTTTTGTGTTTTTAATTCTAATTTCGTCGGAATTGATGAAAACTCCTTATAATGTGCAATTTATAGGGGAAATTGGCCTACCGTAACAAGAAATGCGCCCAAAGAATTTGAGAATTTTATGCACTTTCAGAGGATGCATTTGTCAAGGGGTGGAGAAAGAGGGATATTTTCCCCTTGTCTCCCGGTGTTTTTAATTCTAATTTCGTTAGAATTCATCAAAACTCTCTAAAATGTGCAATTTTTAGAGGAAATTGGGCCATGTTAACAAGAAATGCGCGCGAAATTTGAGGTTTTTAGGTACTTTCAGGGGATGAAAGCGCATTTATAAAGGGGTGGGGAAGATTTTTCAAAGATAGATATTTTCCCCTTGTCCCCCAGTGGTTACGCCATCGGGCAGCATAAATCAAAGGAGTTATGACAGTTTTTGAAGTGGAGAAGGGGTTGCAGGGTGTTGTGAGTCTGGTCATTATGATATCTTTCCCAGTACAGTAAATACAATCTAATAATACCTGTATTTATTTTTCACGTAAGTGTAGTAAGTATTATAATACATTTAATAACAATAATAATACAACCTAATAATAAAAATAACTTCACTTTTTTTATTGCATTAACTAGGCCTAATCCATCGAAATGCACGTCATCTCTCTCGGGATTCAATATTTCGACATTAATTATGTCATCATCAGGAATGATGGGCCCGATATATTAGGTTTTATTACTAAATTCACTCATCATAGAGCATTATAATTTCTATCGTATTTCTTTAAGTATCACAAATTTAGTTAAATAAATAAAACTTGGTATATTATTTAAGTAAATACAATCTAAAAATTAGGGCTATTAATTTAATGTACTGTACTATATAGTATATGATAGTTTAATAGCAAATCCAACCCAATAAATTAGTTTGTTGTATTAAGTATTGTACATTTAATAACAACCTAATATACAGTATCAGCTAATTATTTAAGTAAATATGACAATCTAATAATCAGGCCTATTAGGCTGTATTTAACGTAATTTAATGTACTATATGATAATTTAAGTTTGTTGTATTAAGTACACCTAATAACAACTTAATAAATGAGCTCATATTATTTTATTAAAATATTTGTTAAGTTGAATTAGTATCATATATATTTTTTTTTATTTATTAGCTAAATATTCATCATTTCTGTTTTTTGTATTTCTTTTAAGTATCATAATACATTTATTTAAAAAAAAACAGTCTGGTTAGGTTGTATTTATGGTCACCCTGTATTTATACAAGTAAATACAATCAATAATACCTGAATATATTTACGTAATATATTAAATAATATTATAGTGCATTTAACAACAACAATAATACAAGCTAATAATAGTATTCATTTTTCTACCTTAAATAAATACCTAATAGAATTTGTTAAGATTATTTATTGTATATATAAGTGTGATACTAAAATGGTAATGGAAATTGTTTGCTTCATTATTGAATTTTACGTTTTATTTATTAATTATATATAATTAATTAAATACATATAGAGTAATTAACTAAGTTATTAGATTGAATTATTATTAAGTGTTGTGTTTATAATTTTTTTCGAGGTAGAATCATGAGTAAACATTTTCCAAATACATTGTTCAATTTGTTACTAGTTATTATTAATGCAAAAATCTGTTAATGATTAGGTTGATATTATTTTTAAGTCGGGGCTGCTTTTGAACTAGAAATTCAATTATAATTAATTTAGTAATTATACAATTATTATAAAGTGTTATTTATGTATTTATATAGAACTTTAATGTTTATGTTGGTTTATGTTTTTAAAGTGTAACATTTTAAAGAAAAAATGTTGAGTGCTATTATAGGAATTATAGGCCTATGAGCTATATTTATGTCTACTTTCAGATTTTATTAGATGGTATTTATTTAACAAAAATAAATGATACTAAAACAACCTAATTAAAATTTCTTATTAGGAAAGCCTCATTAATTGATTTAGGTTGTATTTATTATTATAAATAAATGTACTATATAATATTTATTCAACCAAAAACAATTATTCATTGGGTTGTATTTAAGTATCATATATTTACGTAAATACCCAAATAAATACAGGATTATTAGATTGTATTTATTTATATACAACATGATACACACAAAAAATTTGTATATTAACACGAAAAAAAAATATCAGCTTTAAATGCCAAGATAATTTTTCTTTTAAGTGGTATAAACAATATAACTTTTAAAAGTGAAATTTTGTTTTAGGGTTGACAGGTTTTTGATTACACCCAACATAAATTCAACCTAATAAATTAGGCCTAGTTAATGCAATAAAAAACTAAGTGAATATTATTAGGTTATTATTGTTGTTACTGTAAATACAATATAATAATACAATACATAAATAAATAAATAAATAAATAAATACAGGTATTATTGATTGCATTTACTTGCATAAATACAGGGTGAACATAATATAACCTAACCAGATTGTTTTTATTCAAGTAAATGTACTATGATATTTAAATCAAATACAACAAACAGAAATGATGAATATTTATTTAAATAATTAATTAATAATTCAATATATATGATATATATTAGGCCTAGTTAATGCAAAAAAAATCTAAGTGAATATTATTAGGTTATTATTGTTGTTACTGTAAATGCACTATAATAATACAATACATACATAATACAGGTATTATTGATTGCATTTACTTGCATAAATACAGGGTGAACATAATACAACCTAACCAGATTGTTTTTATTCAAGTAAATGTACTATGATACTTAAATGAAATACAACAAATAGAAATGATGAATATTTAATAAATAAATAAATAATTCAATATATATGATACAAATTCGAATTAATTAACAAATCTTCTTTTAAGTATTATGAATTAATAATTATATATAAAAAAGCTGATTTATTAGGTTAATATTAAAGACGACATCAAACATAAACCATCCAGGACAATAA